AAATCAAGAAAAAAAACCCAAAATAAATAAATGCTGGCAAGGATGCAGGAAAAAGGAACTTTCATACATGGTTGGTAGAAATGTAAATTATGGCAGCTACTATGTGAATTAATGTGGATCTTTCTCATAAAACTGAAAATAGAACTCCTATATAACCCAGGTACACCACTCCTAGGTATATACCTGGAGGTGTTAATACACTATAGGAATACTTATATATGCATGTTTATTGTACGCAATTCTTTTTTAAAGTTTATTTTTCAATTGGACATGTTTTCATTATATAAATATTACCTTCCCTGTGGGGAGCTGGTCTGTGGGTACATAAAACATATCAATTCTTTTTTCATGCCTTTTACCTCCCCTCTACCTCCACCTCTTGATCCCCTTCCCACTTGAAAAAGATCTATCGCCCTACTTCCTATTATCTCTTATTTTGCAATTTATGTATAATTTGGGTTTCTCATGTAAGAGAAAACATGTGATATTTAACCTTTTGTGTCTGACTTGCTTCATTTAAAATTACAATTTCAGAGTGCATTTGTTTTCTTACAAATGACTCAAGTCTGTCCTTCATAATGGCAGAGTAGGATTCCACTGTGTATAAATACCATGTTTTCTTTATCCATTCATCTATTGGCGGACATAGAAATTGATTCCAAGATTTAACTGTTATGGATTGTGTTGCTAGACGCATGGATACACGTGGATCACTGCGATATAATGTCTCTGGGCAAGATACCTAAAAAGGGAAAAGCTGGGTCAAATGGAATTTCTAAATTTTGGTTTTTGAAGAATCTCTGTACTGATGACCATAGTGGTTTGCATTTTCACCAACAATGTAGAAGTGTACCTTTTACAAATAACAGTTGTCATTATGTGATTTCTTGAGGATAGCCTTTCTTTAAGCGGGAATCTCATTGTTAATTTGCATTTCTTTAATGGCCTGCAAATTTGAACATTTCTTAAGTGTTATCAGCCATTTTTACCTCTTCTGAGAAGTGTCTATTTCTGTTGCTCATTTTTTAATCAGGTCTTTAACTTGATCCATTCAATTTTTAAAAAATTCTTAGGGCCAGCCAGTTAGCTCAGCGGATTAAAGTGCCTGCTTAGGCAGACAAAAGGGTGTGCTGAGACAGCAATTGAAACTGGGCGTGGTGGTGCGCACCTGTAATCCCCGTGCTTGGGAGGCTGAAAACAGGAGGATCACTGAGTCCGATCTGTGTAGTGAGACCCTGTACTAAGAAAAGAAAAAACGAAAAAAGTCTTTATGTATTCTGGATATTAGTCCTCTGTCCACTGAATTGCTGGCAATTTTTTTTCCCCATTCTGTAGGTTTTTTTTTTTTTTTTTGTTCTCTCTCTGTCAGTTTCCCTTGCTGTACAGAAGTTTTGTAATTATATTAAGCTTTGTTTATTCCTGGTACTATTTCTTGTGTTACACATTTCTTTTTTAGTATGTGTGTATGGGGGGGGCAATTGTTAATAGCCAATATATGGAGACAGTTTAACTGCTCATCAACA